ATTTTGTGTTGGGCGTTTGTTTTCAATCAATGCTGTTCCTATCCTATAACAATGGACAAAAGAGTCCTATCTTGTCAGCCTTGTCAGCAGGTGGCCAAGGAGTGGTGATCCTAGCTGACCTAAGACAGGACACTTTTACTTATCTTTACCTCTGAATAAACTGCCTTTATTATACCATATCCACCCTGTCCAAAGTCTCTACTTGGTCTCAGTTCTCCAGTAAACTTGTGATTATCAACAGTACACAACGGTAACAAACAATTGGGGGAACTCACGGGGCAGATAGTAACCACTTAAAAGGAAGCGATTCCCAAACCTTCCATAACAAAGCCATCACCTACAGAGAGATGAACTTGGAGAAGAGTCCCCTAAGTAAGCTTGTCCTGGGCCTCTGTTCACAAACACAAACAGACCCCACACAGCCCCAGGACAACAACAACAACAACAACAACAACAACACAATTAGACCCAACCAAATCATGAGAAAACAAAAAGAGAATTACTTGACACATTGGAAAGAACAAACAAAAAAACAGAGCAAACTAGAATGCTATTTGGCCCTAAACAGAGAGTACACAGTGGCAGAATACCTGACCACTGTGACTGACCCAAACTTAAGGAAAGCTTTGACTATGTACAGACTCAGTGACCATAGCCTTGCTATTGAGAAAGGCTGCCGTAGGCAGACCTGGCTCTCAAGAGAAGACAGGCTATGTGCACACTGCCCACAAAATGAGGTGGAAACTGAGCTGCACTTCCTAACCTCCTGCCAAATGTATGACCATATTAGAGACACATATTTCCCTCAGATTACAGCGATCCACAAAGAATTCGAAAACAAACCCAATTTTGATAAACTCCCTTATCTACTAGGTGAAAAACCACAGTGTGCCATCACAGCTGCAAGATTTGTGACCTGTTGCCACAAGAAAAGGGCAACCAGTGAAGAACAAACACCATTGTAAATACAACCCATATTTATGTTTATTTATTTTCCCATTTGTACTTTAACTATTTGCACATTGTAACAACACTGTATATATACATAATATGACATTTGAAATGTCTTTATTCTTTTGAAACTTCTGAGTGTAATGTTTACTGTTAATATTTATTGTTTATTTCACTTTTGTTTACTATCTACTTCCCTTGCTTTGGCAATGTTAACACACGTTTCCCATGCCAATAAAGCCCTTAAATTGAATTGAATTGATAGTAAGGTCGCAATGACACAGAAAGCAGTTCAATGTCGGGGTACAGAGTCGCTCTCTTACCAGGATCGCGGTCCGCTCTGACCAGGGTGAAGGTGGCCGGCTCCACTTCTCTGTCCGGGACTCTGTCATCCAGCCAAGTCTCCCAGCTGTATTGGGATTCCGCTTCCAGCAGCGTTTTCATTATTTAGTCCGTTCGTAGCGGGTATGTACACGATCAACAAGGTCAGTCCAAAACCAACCACTGGAAATCCATGGTTGGCAGAATGTTTGTAAACTAAGTCTACAAATTAAAAACATAAAATAACGCCACACTGCAGGTCACAACAGAGACGCTGCTAGCCGCCATTGTCTTAGTTACGTTCATGGTTACGTCACGTATGACGAAAGCGCGTAAGTGCATGCCCACAGACACCCATAGAGAATGTATTGAAAGCTTTGAAATTTGAAAAAAATAGATTTTACATGACAGGCTATGAGAGACTTCTGGGCGATTTTCAACTTGACTGAAATCGCCCCAAAAACGGGCGGGGCCATTTGAAGCACGACTTTAGCCTGATTTGATATTTAGTGGCTGGCAGATCAGACGTGAACACTGATAACTACTGTTGCCGTGATATAATTGATTAGAAAAAAAATCCCTTCCTTTTCCCGTTTGGCAGTGCGTCGCCCATATCGCCCTATTGAACACACCGCCCATGCCCACTACCCTGGCGTTACAAGCGCCATGCTCTACCAATTGAGCTACAGAGGACCACATTATTATTATAAAGATTTAGGGGAAGAGCAAGGGGGCTTGAACCAGCGACCCTGCGGTAAGAGAGAATGAACTATAGACCACCTGTGCCATCATCTCCCCTAGCAGAACAACAGTAGTCTGGGGAGGAGACCCCCTAAAATCCACACCTCTTGGCAGAAGCTCTGCCGGGTTATGGAGGTAATTGGATACATGGAAAGGATACCTGTGTGTGTGTGTGTGTGTGTGTGTGTGTGTGTGTGTGTGTGTGTGTGTGTGTGTGTGTGTGTGTGTGTGTGTGTGTGTGGTGTTCTCCCTCACCTGAGGTAGCGCCGCGTAGATCTGACGCTGGAGCACGTCCCTCTCGTGCAGCGCACCCTGAAGCTTGGTCTGTGATTGGATGAGTGTCTCCTGGGTCTCGCGCAGGGACTCCAGCAGCTTGTCTCTCTCGTCCAGCATGTTGACCATCAGCTGCTCGAAGTTGGCTTCCGGGTCCGAGCCGTTCTGAGCCCCTCCACCCCGGGGAGGACCCCCCGAGTCCCCCTCAGTGATCGTCGGCATCACCTCGCACATCATATTCGCTGCTTGGTGCTTACAGTCCTATAGGCGTGTATCGCTGTAATGAGATGGCTGATATCCTTGGCTGTCTGTAGGCTACTCGCTGCCGCTGGCTAATAACCACAATGATTGATTGATGTGAATAGACTATTTATTGTTGATGATCGCGAAATGGCATGGGATGTGCCGCGCGCACTGGGGGTAGATATCCTAATGATCAACTTTCTTCCAGAATCATGAAATTGAAAATCAGACGAGCATTGACCTTTTTTCCATGTCTGCTGGCGATGGTTCATCTGGCACGTCCGCCCAACCCCGCGCGCCACTCATGTAATTCCAGTGCGTGTGATTTGATTGACAGATCATAGACACTGTGATGCCGCCGCTGACCCTGTCGATGACAATGGTTCCGAGGTTTCTTATGCGCTCTTTCGGTTCAACAGCCACCAGTTGCCGATAACCTCTCAGCGAGAGAGACGGCGATAGCCAGCTAGGCATGTCTGCGGCATCCGCCTTCTCAACCCTCCGCTGCCATCTCCACACCACCACCGAGCAGACACACACACCACTCCTCCTTCTCCCTCACACACTGGCTCCCGCAGCTGTCACCACTACGGTTACGGAAAGGGAGCAACTCCCCGCTATCTGCAAAACAATTTACGCATAATTTACATAGCTATCCACATGGTCGCACGTCGTTTATTTTCCCCCTTTTGACCAGCGGACAAATTCAGTATTGTGTTTAGACTAAGAAAAATCTTCGAATGCTCTCCATAATTTTTTTTTTACATTTGCTCAAGCGGCAGAAGAACCCCTCACATCAGCACCACCATGCGCGTCCACGCGCTATTATGCCAGGCAGTGCAGGCGCGCTCTGCGCGCTCTGGCGACTGAGAGCAAAATAGTGTCATGCGCAGCGCTGCCTGATGGGACCCGTTATGAATTATGGCACTGGAATGAAATGGAAATTAAAATACCGCATCGGGATATAAACTGGATGTTATTCATAAACAAATGCATTAGGGTGCCTAGCCTATAGCCCATTGGACATAGGCTACCGAAACAATAGCCTACCCATAACCTTCCAAGCATAGGCTTCTGTTTGTCTTATCTTAATGCGTTGTTCAGTAACAACACAACGCCTGGTGGCTTGTGTTATATCTATAAATGCTGCATTTACGCTTCATAAATCTCATTATAATCTAATACATTTTCTGATGCATTTTCGCCGGTATGGTAGAGCTATGACACAAAGGTTCTAGTAGGACTATGGCTGACATAGCAATGTCCTATGACTGTAGAGGGCTAGGCTACTATACTGTAAAGACTATAAATTCATGTTTGATTCATGTTATGACCAAATCGTAAAATGTAGGATGTCAGTAAGCTAAAATGGTTTCATAGTAGCCTAGCTTGTCTCTCTTATGCTACTCCGTAACCAGATTTTAAATGACGAAATCCTTTGGGAATTTAAGTGTGGTCCTCTGTAGCTCAATTGGTAGAGCATGGCACTTGTAACGCCAGGGTAGTGGGTTCGATCCCCGGGACCACCCATACGTAAAAATGTATGCACACATGGCTGTAAGTCGCTTTGGATAAAAGCGTCTGCTAAATGGCGTATTATATTATAAGTCAACCTTCATCAGAGATACTGTTGACGATATGGAAAACTCAATTGAAATCGTGTTAACGCCCTTTGTGTACGTTGCCCACGTGTCGTCAATGGGCCGTACGGTGCATTCTGGGAGATTCTGGGACAAGGAGAGCTCTTCTTCATGGTGTGAATGGGATTCAATTGGGCGCTAGCTCAAAAACCCAACATTAGCATACATTTCGTCAACAAGAAGTACAACATTATAAATCTTTTCCGAGATGTGAGATAGCTAACTTGTTATCTGTAATATAGTATAGCTTTGAAATCGTGACATTACGTACTTTCGAGGAATAGGCAGGTTTCTCGACACTTGGTGCGTTCAAGACAACTGGGAACTCGGAAAAATACGTAGTCAAATCATAACGTTAGTGATCTTCAAGTCGGAAAGTCGGAGCTCTAAAAATAGGCCCGAATCCCGAGGTGGTATTGCGAGTTGGATGACCGTTGAAAACGATTTTTCCCAGTCGGAGCTCTTTTTTTTCTGAGTTCAGTTGTTTTGAACGCACTTAGGTCAGAGATTTCCGAGTTCCCAGTTGTTTTGAACGCGGAATCATACCCTGATTTTGATAAAGGATTGCGTTACAATTGGTTTAGCATCCGCGTGACGCGGCATGACAACGTGAACGCAATTGGTCTGCTGGTGAGGCGTTATACGTTCCTCTATTCATTGTCCAATGGGATTCCTATCTCCTCCTTTCTCTAATATCTGCCTTCATCCAGGGGAACCGACTAATCTGATTGGCTCAATCTGATTGACCACTCTTGTCCAATCAAATTCGATAACGATGAGCTCGTCGTTGACTACGGATTCGAAGGAAGTCTCGCGTGATTTAAGATACGTAAATTATTTACGTCAGTCCCATGATGGCTGAAGATCCTGGAGGAACATTTTTCAATTGCTGTCCCAACTTTTTCTCTTTCTCTTTACCTCTGCTTGTCATAGAGACATGGCAGGACATACAGCCTCGATAAGTGGCCACAGACCCTTGTTACCGTCATGCCCAAGAAAGGGAACCGAAAACGGCTGAAATTTCGGCCCGGGGACATCTGCTCGGAGTCAGGTAGCTAGCTCGCTAAAGCTAACTCTTTGACCCGGCCGGAGGCCGCCGTCGGCTATCGGTGGTGCACAGAGTGGGTGGATCCTCGAGGACAAAGTCAAACTATCCGATTCTATTACCATCATTGATGATAAATAAATTGCATGTGTATATTCAGGAGGATTGCAATGTCAGAAAAATATGTAGGCCTATTTTTGGTCGATGTCAAGCATACCCATCAGAGGCGCATCGCAGTGTAGCTAGTCAGTAGCGGTGCGTGGGTAAAATCACAGGCAAGCCAATAAAAAAGCCATATTACATCCTATGTTGTGATATTTGCGTTGTTTGCTCAATAACCCATTCGTTCATACGTCACCGCGATATACAATAAGTCCGTGACAACAAACATACAACAGTGGCATAATAAATTCAACTACACAAACATTTGTTTCTTCACAAAACCGGAGAGCAACATCTCAGGTGAAGTCCACAAAGCAAATATTGCATGTAACAAACAGTTAAATTATCTGCATCATGGTGAAGCAAGTTAATGTTTGACAGTACTAAACAACTGAGCAAGGCACAAAGACAACAGGAACACTGCCTCTGCTATTCCAGCACCATTTCAATTTAAACAAAATCAACATGGCTATATAATACACTGAAAACAAATTTAAAGATACCAAAAACAATTGAGTCCAATCAGTGTTGCTAAATATCATGTGGCTGTCCATGGTTCTGATTTTTGTCAGTGTGTGCTTGCGTACATGTGTAAGAAAATAACAAAAGTTCACTCACCCTACTTGTAGACTAGTTGAATGCCAATGCCATCCTCCTCGCTTTCATGTTGGCAAAACGGTCTATGGCTCTGTCATACAGTACGCTTTTAGTTTTAGTTTTCATAGGCTACCTAGCTAAAATGCTTGCTGGCCTAACTTCCTCGCATGGGCAAAAATTAACCACTTAAGTTAGCTGGCTAGTTAACGTTAGCCTACTAGGCTACATATTGAACTTCAATCGTCTCAGGCCAGTGGCACAATATATGCATTTATGGTTAGATCAGAATCGGCGTCATAATCATTGGCCTGTACATAGAATTAAGTCAAAACCACAACCAAATCCACATCTTAGGAAAGGGCCGATTTAGCAAGCTAGCTACTGCAGGACATCAACATAAGCAGACCAGAAACAGACACGTTTGTCTCACAATTATGATGTTTTGCTAGGATGTGATTTGACTGGTGTGAAGCCAAATCCAAACTCACCTCCCTTGGGGGGCGTTTTGCTGTGCCAGGATAACCCACAGTTGAGCTCAGCGCAAAGCTGATTGGCTAATTATTTTATAAAACATTTTATCAAGGGAGGCCAGATACTTGCTGGCATCAATCAATCAAATGCTACTGCAGCAACATGTCATACTCTTTTGTTCTGGACGGCATCAGATACATGGGCTACACGTACTGAGGCGCTGTTTCCCTCGGTCGGATGATTTCTCCAGTGAGATTCAGCCACTTGAGAATTTACGGACAATTATGAAAACAGAGCGACAAAATATCTTTTTTTTATTGGTCAAATATTTGGGAAAGCATGGCTTCCCTCTGCATCCATGAATACACATCACTGAGTGTAGTTTGACTTCTCATTGTCTTCTTTTCTCTGCTGTGTTCTGAGAAAAGGGAAAGGGCGCGTTCGAGGGGATCACTTTTGTCAAGCCAGTGACCATCGGCTTTCAAGTGTGTTGCATACTTTGTGCTTTCAAGACAACTGTGAACTCTGGCAAAAAAGAGGTCAAATCATGACGTCAGTGATCTTCGTGTCGGAAAGTTGGAGCTCTAGAAAGATGCCAGAGTTTCTGACTTGGAATTCAGAGTTGGATGACCGTTCAATACCATTTTTCACAGTCGGAGTTGTCTTGAACGCACTGAAGTCGGAGATATTGGGGTTGGAGACGTTTTTATTTCAACATTATAAACAATTGCAACACTGCCATGTTGCATTGAGCCTTGATGTTGATGTGTCCGACTTTTGGCTGTCGCAGATGCACCGCTCCCCTGACTTCAGCTGTCGCAGATGCACCGCTCCCCTGACTTCACTGCTTGACTTTCGTCTACAGTTGGTTGCTTTCGCCTTAGAACTCAAATGAGCCCAAAGAAAAGCCATGTTCGAGCCTATCAAATCCATGTTGCATTGTGGGTAAATTGTGACTGATTGACTGACTGATCTACAAGTAGTTATTTATGATGCAAGGTGATTTGTAATCAGTCAGTAGGCAGTCACCTGCAGTGTCGAACAAGCCAAAAGTGACTGACATAATGCCTAACCAGTGTTTTCAGGTCACTACAGACAAAGGAAAAGGGATGAGGGGAGAAAGAAGTTGTAGAAAGAAGTTGTTTAGGACTATTGAGATGCATCCCATGCCACCCTATGCTATTGTGTGCGCTTGGTAAACCGTATATTCTCCCCTCTCATGCAGTGACGGTCGCTGATTTCGCCAATGCTGACCCAGCCGTTGTGAAGTCGGGGAGGGTGAAAAAAGCTGTTGCCAATGCAGTTGAAAAAGAAGGTAAGATCATCAATCAAAATGCTTAGGTATGTCAATTTGTTCTACAGACATAGCAATTCATTGATAAACCACATTATTGTGTTTACTAACTTTCCACTGTGCTTGTCCTGCAGTGAAGTTGTTGTGTGGACTTGAGGCGTCGCAGGGTTCCCTACAGGAGGTGTTCTCGTCAGTGTCCAGCCTCACCGGAGACACCCTGGAGAGTAGCGACGACCTCGACCCCGGGGAGGATGGAGTGAACGAGCCTAAAGAGGCACGCAAGAAGAAAAACAAGAGAAGGAAAGGTACATCACCTCCTGCCTCTAGTCATGCATTTAAAGAGAGTTGAGGGCTGCATCTCATTCCAGAGGGTTGCTCCCTTCCCTCTGCCCATGTTCACGCCTTCACTGATATTATACAGTGTAACTGGGTAGGTGATAGCAATAAGCTGTAAACTAGGCCTACTTGGAGCTATTGTGTTCACCTATCCAGTTGTCTCCGATCCGTACGGGGAAGTGAACAAGGATGGATAAGAGTGAACAACTTTTCTGAATAAAACACAGCCCATCGTTTGATTGACTGTCTGATTTGTTTTCCCAGAGTGTAGTGAGTGCAGTGATGGGAAGGACTACACAGTGGATATCTGGCTGGTGCTGGCTTCTTATATCCGTCCAGAGGACGTGTGCACGTTTGCTCTGATTTGTAGAAACGCCTGGACCGTCATCTGCACTGCTGCCTTCTGGACCAGACTATACAGAAGGTAAAGTTAGACCCTCTCATTGCCATAACCTATATTTGAGGTGGGCTCTTGATAAGACTTGAATCCTGGAAAGTCAATGCACATTGCCCTTGACAACTGGCCCCTAAAGGAGTAGTAGCCTAGTTTCTTATTTACATATTTTCTCTCCCTCTCTCTATTCTCTCCTCTATCTCTCACTTTCACCTCCCTTTCTCTTTCTCTCCCTCCCATCTCTTTGTCTCTCTCTCCTTCCCTCCCTTTCTCTCCCCTCCCTCTCTATCCCCTCTCCCTCCTTCTCTTTCTCCTTCCCTCTCTCCTCTCCCTCCCGCTCTCCTATAGACACTACAGTCTGGATGCTTACCTGCCGTTCTGTCTGCAGCCAGACTCCATAGCCAGGAAGCGTTGTCTACGGGCTCGCGTGATTCGCTCCCTCTTCCACCTGTATGAGCCATTCAGCTCACACGTCTCCCTAAGCCCCGCCCTCCCTGAGTCCCCGCCCACCCCTCTACTCAACTCCAAGGTAAAGAATCAAGATGGCGCCAAGAGGGGCAACAGGCTAGCGGTTGTGCCAAAGGACTGTATGGTGTGTGGAGTTGTTTGAGGTTTTGGCCTTCTTTTTGGATCCTGAGAGGGTCTGGCCACTTGATCTGTACTATAACTCACTAATCCTGATCCATCAAGTTCTGGCTTTAATGTGCACTTGACACTTGTGCAATCCAATGCTAAGAGATGTTTTACCTGTTTTCTCCTCTGCAGTGTCTGCTGTTCTGGGTCAATAAGGTTGTGGGCACTCGACCTGAGCCCATGTGGGAGTTCAACTTCAAGTTTGTGAAGCCGGTATGTATTCATGCCGAACTGTCTGAAGTACACTAGTGAAACATGTTTACTTTAAATTTGAAGTAAAACATTTCATTGTAATGAAGGATACCATAGTTTATGTATGTGTGTCTCTCTCTCCTCTAGGTGGTGAGGTGTAAGGGTGGCAGTGCCAGCCGTGGTCTGCTGCTGCCCCGTCAGTATGAGGAGGTCCATGCCAACCCAGACTCAGACTGCTACCTGCTGCAGGTCACCACCCTCAACTTCATCTTCACCTCAGTCGTCATGGGGATGACCCTTTCCCTGGTCAGTACACCACTCACTCATCCTGGTTTTTACTCTGTTAAGACTCTGTCTCCATCCATTACATTTAACATTTTAGTCATTTAGCAGACGCTCTTATCCAGAGCGAATTACAGTTAGTGAGTGCATACATTTTCATACTGGTCCCCCGTGGGAAACGAACCCACAACCCTGGCGTTGCAAGCGCCATGCTCTACCAACTGAGCTACAGGGGACTATCCATGAAGTTGCATTGTTAAAGTCACATAATGTGGTTGTAACTGATAGTGGGCCTGTTTTAGGAGAGGGGAACCTGTGCCTCCTTTCTATCTAACCCACTCTGTGTCTCTGTTCCCTCTCCAGTTTAACATCAACGTGAACGCGGACATGCGTCACCACAGAGTGCGTCTGGTGTTCCAGGACTCTCCCCTCCAGCAGGGGAGGAGGAAAGGGGAGCAGGGGGGGACACAGGTGGTGCTGGACCCTGTACACAGCATGAGACTCATGGACTGGTGGCATCCGCAGTACCCTTCCTCCCCCTACACCTAGATCCCACCTCTCCTGTAGACCCCTCTTATTATCCAACATGCTCCACACAACACCCATTTAGTCCTAGAACTCACTGTAACCGTCTGCTCGTACACCTAGAACGCCCAACACCTCCTAACACCAAAAACCAACCACAGTACCCCGTCTCGCTGTACACCCAGAACCTTGCTTCACCTCAACCTTCAACAGCCCACAACACAGAGTCCTCTAGTGTATTCTTTACATTCCCCTACACCAAAAACCACCTACCTCCTCAGTACCCTAGCTCTCCATAGACAATCCCCCAACATTGCCTCGGACCACCCTATACGTTTATGTTGAACAGCTGTAGAGACTGTAATTTATTTTAATATTTCCTCCTTTCTGTAACTGCAAAATCTTCGTTTTAAGGGAGACTTTCGATTTCACGTTTTGATTTTACTATTCTACAGGCCAAAATGATGATTTGCTGCTTGCGTAATTATTTTATTTGATACCTCTAATCATTGGTAACTTTTAAATTGTTATTTTTAAAACCCCAACTCCTGATTCGTCCCCTGTGTATCCTCCTCAGGAAGTAAGGTCAGATCTGAAAACTCTGGTCAGTTCTGGGGCCACTGCATTGTAGCGGAGCAGCATTTTATATCCTGTCTATGTGTTAGAGAATGTTTCTGATTGGGATTATGAACACAAGGAGGCCAGTCTTGTAGGTAAACAATGATCAGTAGAAACATGCCAATCGTGCTTAATTTCTAAAAAGGGGGGTATTTGAAGAATACCCACAGGAGACTGTATATCAGCTGTATTTCAGTTCTACTATTTACTCAATCATCCAATCAAAATGCTGTTAAGAACATTAGTGTTTGAATTTAGAAGTTCATTATCGTGTGTAGTGAAAAGCAACGTTTTTTTATTGATGATCAGACTTGAAATTGCTTTATTGTAAATACATGTATAGCTGATTGACCTTGTGAAGGACATGTACAGTTGAAGTCGGAAGTTTTAAGTAATTAAAAGTAATTAACTCGTTTTGCAAACACTCCACAAATATCTTTTGAACAAACTATAGTTTTGGCAAGTCGGTTAGCACATCTACTTTGTGCATGACACAAGTAATTTTTCCAACAATTGTTTACAGACAGACTATTTCACCTAGAATTCACTGTATCACAATTCCAGTGGGTCAGAAGTTTACATACACTAAGTTGACTGTGCCTTTAAATAGCTTGGAAAATTCCAGAAAATTATGTCATGGCTTTAGAAGCTTCTGATAGGCTAATTGACATCATTTGAGTCAATTGGAGATGTACTTGTGGATGTATTTCAAGAACTACTTTCAAACTCAGTGCCCCTTTGCTTGACATCATGGGAAAATCAAAAGAAATCAGCCAAGACCTCAGGAAAATAGTTGTAGACCTCCACAAGTCTGGTTCATCCTTGGAAGCAATTTCCGAACGCCTGAAGGTACGACGTTCATCTGTACAAACAATAGTACGCAAGTATAAACACCATGGGACCACGCAGCCGTCATACCGCTCAGGAAGGAGATGCGTTCTGTCTCCTAGAGATTAACGTACTTTGGTGCGAAAAGTGCAAATCAATCCCAGAACAACAGCAAAGGACCTTGTGAAGATGCTGGAGGAAACAGGTACAAAAGTATCTATATCCACAGTAAAACGAGTCCTATATTGACATAACCTGAAAGGCAGCTCAGCAACGAAGAAGCCACTGCTCCAAAACCACCATAAAAAAGCCAGACTACGGTTTGCAACTGAACATGGGGACAAAGATCGTACTTTTTGGAGAAATGTCCTCTGGTCTGATGAAACAAAAATAGAACTGTTTGGCCATAATGACCATCGTTATGTTTGGAGGAAAAAGGGGGAGGGCTTGCAAAACGAAGAACACCATCCCAACCGTGAAGCACGGGGGTGGCAGCATCATGCTGTTGGGGTGCTTTGCTGCAGGAGGGACTGGTGCACTTCACAAAATAGATGGCATCAAGAGGAAGGAAAATTATGTGGCTATATTGAAGCAACATCTCAAGACATCAGTCAGGAAGTTAAAGCTTGGTCGCAAATGGGTCTTCCAAATGGACCCAAGCATACTTCCAAAGTTGTGGCAAAATGGCTTAAGGACAACAAAGTCAAGGTATTGGAGTGGCCATCACAAAGCCCTGACCTCAATCCTATAGAAAATGTGTGGGCAGAACTGAAAAAGCGTGCGCGAGCAAGGAGGCCTACAAACCTGACTCAGTTACACCAGCTCTGTCAGGAGGAATGGGCCAAAATTCACCCAACTTATTGTGGGAAGCTTGTGGAAGGGTACCCGAAACGTTTGACCCAAGTTAAACAATTTAAAGGCAATGCTACCAAATACTAATTGAGTGTATGCAAACTTCTGACCCACTGGGAATGTGATGAAAGAAATAAAACCTGAAATAAATAATTCTCTCTATTATTCTGACATTTCACATTCTTAAAATAAAGTGGTGATCCTAACTGACCTAAAACAGGGAATTGTTACTAGGATTAAATGTCAGGAATTGTGAAAAACTGAGTTTAAATGTATTTGGCTAAGGTGTATGTAAACTTCCGACTTCAACTGTATACATGTTTGGCTGTGATAACCATCCATAATATCGTTCCCCATGTAAAGCCTGTGGATGCTGTCTGTCTGTATGTGATCGGATTGTTTGGCCAACTTCCTGCCTGCACTGAAATACAACTGTAAAGAACCCCTTCCATACTATCCTGTATTTCTCTATCAATACAAATGGGGTCTCCTACTATCACATGTTTGACATATGGTGATACCTACTTAAAATGTAGATTAAAATGGTGCTACTGTACAGCCTGAGGGATAAAGTAAAACAGGACTTAGTCCTATCAAACTATTATGTTTCCTTGACAATAGTGCCTTCTTGTGGTCAACTGAGGTAACATGGAAAGTGTAGCTACATAGATGCATTTGATAGATATTGGGGTAAAACCATTTGTACAGTTTAAACCATTTAAAAATACAAAGAAATCCCAGAGGATCACACATGAAATTGTTGAATGTGGTCCATTTGAATGTTTCTCCATGTATTGCAATGTGGATATTTGATTGTTGAATTACATAAAATTACAGCTGATGCGACATCCACAAAAACAGTAGGGTGAGGCCACATAGGGCCTAGGCTACCTGATTCATAATAATGGCCGGAACGGAGCAAATGGAATGGCATCAAACATCTGGATGTATTTGTTACCATTCCACTGATTCCGCTCCGGCCAATACTATGAGCCCGTTCTCCCCAATTAAGGTGACACCAACCTACTGTGATCTACCATCTCCCTCTCAGGGATATGATTTTTTCCCTCCCATCAGCATCAACACTGCCGGAGTAACAGAACCATGGATGACTTGGACTACTTGCTGAATGATTTAAAAAAACAAAAAACGGACCACATAAATCTCTAAAGTAAAAATCCATGTTTTTAATTTTAATTCACAATTAAAAACTTTACAAGGTAAAAGTGACTTTAACAACAACAAAAAATGGGACAAATACAATGACAACTGAACTTGTAAAGCTTAAATAAAACAGACATACAAGACAGGACATATACAGCTAGAAACCAGCTCCCAGGAAAAAATGCCTGCATGGTTCCGCTGCGGATCACGGAGGCCAGTAATCGCCACACATAGTATGAAAAATGTATGCACTCACTAACTGTAAGTCGCTCTGGATAAGAGCGTCTGCTAAATGACTAAAATGTAAATGTAAAATGTAATTCAGGATGGTATTGGCCAAGGGTTTGCATTGCAACCAGTAGCGGTGCATGGGTAAAATCCCTGGGGAAGCCAGAAAGAAATGGCCATATTACAACCTACAGTGCATTCGGAAAGTGTTCAGACCCCTTGACTTCTTCCACATTTTGTTACGTTACAGCCTTATTCTAAAATGGTTTAAAAAATAATAATAATCCCTCATCAATCTATACACAATACCCCATAATGACAAAGTGAAAAGGTTTTTAGAAATGTTTGCAAATGTATAAAATATCAAAACAGATACCTTATTTACATAAGTATTCAGACCCTTTGCATGAGACTCTAAATTGAGCTCTGGTGCATCCTGTTTCCATTGATCAATCTTGAGACGTTTCTACAACTTGATTGGAGTCCACCTGTGGTAAATTCAATTGATTGGACATGATTTGGAAAGGTACACACCTGTCTATATACAGTGCATTCGGAAAGTATTCAGACCCATTGACGTTTTCCACATTTTGTTACGTTACAGCCTTATTCTAAAATGGATTAAATTATCCCCCCCCCCCCCCCCCCCCCCCCCCCCCCCATCAATCTACACACAATACCCCATAATGACGAAGCAAAAACAGGTTTTTAGAAATGTTTGCAAATGTATAAAAAATAAATAAACTGAAATATCATATTTACTTAAGTATTCAGACCCTTTATTCAGTACTTAGTTGAAGCACCTTTGGCAGCGATTACAGCATTGATTCTTCTTGGGTATGACACTACAAGCTTGGTACACCTGTATTTGGGGAGTTTCTCCCATTCTTCTCTGCAAATTCTCAAGCTGTCAGGTTGGATGGGGAGCGTTGCTGCACAGCTATTTTCAGGTCTCTCCAGAGATGTTAGATCGGGTTTAAGTCCGGGCTCTGGCTGGGCCACTCAAGGACATTCAGAAACTTGTCCCGAAGCCACTCCTGCATTGTGTTGGCTGTGTACTTAGGGTCGTTGTCTTGTTGGAAGGTGAACCTTCGCCCCCAGTCTGAGGACCTGAGCACTCTGGAGCAGGTTTTCATCAAGGATCTCTCTGTACTTTGCTCCGTTCATCTTTCCCTCGATCCTGACTAGTCTCCCAGTCCCTGCCACTGAAAAACATCCCCACAGCATGATGCCGCCACCACCATGCTTCACCGTAGGGATGGTGCCAGGTTTCCTCAAGACGTGACGCTTGGCATTCAGGCCAAAGAGTTAAATCTTGGTTTCATCAGACCAGAGAATCTTGTTTCTAATGGTCTGAGAGTCCTTTAGGTACCTTTTGGCAAACTCCAAGCGGGCTGTCATGTGCCTTTTACTGAGGAGTGGCTTCCGTCTGGCCACTCTACCATAAAGGCCTGATTGGTGGAGTGCTGCAGAGATGGTTGTTCTTCCAGAAGATTCTCCCATCTCCACAGAGGAACTCTGGAGCTCTGTCAGAGTGACCATCAGGTTCTTGCTCAGTTTGGCCGGGCTGCCAGCTATAGGAAGAGTCTTGGTGGTTCCAAACGTCTTCCATTTAAGAATGATGGAGGCCACTGTGTTCTTGGGGACCTTCAATGCTGCAGACATTTTTTGGTACCCTTCCCCAGGTCTGTGCCTCTACACAATGCTGTTTCTGAGCTCTACTGACAGTTCCTGGGACCTTATATAGACAGGCGTGTGCCTTTCCAAATCATGTCCAATCAATTGAATTTACCACAGGTGGACTCCAATCAAGTTGTAGAAACATCTCAAGGATGATCAATGGAAACAGGGTCTGAATACTTATGTAAATAAGGTATTTCAGTTTATTTTTAATACCTTTGCAAACATTTCTAAAAACCTGTTTTCGCATTGTCATTATGGGGTAATATGTGTAGATTGCTGAGGTAAAAAAAAAAATCAATTTTAGAATAAGGCTGTAACGTGAAAAAATGTCAAAGGTTAAGGGGTCTGAATACTTTCCGAAGGCACTGTAACGCATTAGTAAACCCGCTACAGTACAGTGTACAGTCAGAAAGCAGTTTAGCAGTTACACCAATGGGCCTCGGTGGCAATAAATTAATAAAACCAAAAGCTTATATTGACTAGAGTTCCAGTGTTGGATAGCCATAGCCAGCTAGCTAACATAGCATCCTTCTCTGTTTGAGCCGGGTGTTTGAGTAGGCTAAACTAGCTTGCTGCATTTGCTAGCTAAATGTAGTCCTCCGGCTATACCATGGTGCTACCCTACAGAGTGCCCCTGAGGCTACTGTAGACCATCATTGCAAAACTGTGTTTTAATCAATTATTTGGTGGCGTGAATATATTTAGTATAGTTTTATCTAAAAATGATAACTTTTTTGTTTGACTATTTTTATTTGTTTGAAATTCACATAGGAGGATGATCCTCCTCATCCTTCTCTGAGAAACCTCTACTGGTTGACTCATCCTACTTGTAGAGTAACGCCAATGCCATCCTCCTCTCTTTCATGTTGATGAAACGGTCTATCATTCTGTCATAGAGTACACGCTTTTATTTTTTGCTGTCCAAGGCTACCCAGCTAAAATGCTTGCTCGCTAGCCTAACTTCCATTCATGGGCAACGTTAGCTAGTTAACATTAGCCTTCTACATGTAGCTACATATTGAACTTCCATCCTCTCAGGCCAGGGGCACCGCACAATGTATGAATTAATGGTTGGATCAGAATCGCCGTTATAATCAGACCACTGCGCCACTCAGGAGACCATACGGGGACTACCAAAAACCACTGCAACAGAGTTATTGTAAAGTGTGGGAATAAGTTTATGCCAGATTTATGGTACCTTATGTTTAACCTCTCCCTTGTTAATTTCAAAGTCCATATGTTCATGACCCAATTCATGACCTCCTACAGACTATGCTTTGGCAAGATTTTGAGTGATGAAATAAAAGTCAAAATATTCTATACAAAAATATATTTTGAGTGGCAATCACCAAACCTCTATTATTATTCTATGTTTAATAGAGAATGCCAAGTGTGCAAAGCCATCATCAAGGCAAAGGGTGGCTATTTGAAGAATCTCAAATATAAAATATATTTTGATTTGTTTAACCCTTTTTTGGTTACTACATGATTCCATATGTGTTATTTCATAGTTTTGATGTCTTCACTATTATTCTACAATGTAGAAAATAGTAAAAATAAAGAAACCCCTTGAATGAGTAGGTGTTCTAAAACTTTTGACCGGTAGTGTACGTTCAACCTTTTGGCTGCTTTCTTGCTCCAGATAGATGGCCTTCAAGTAGAGAGACAAGAGGGGCGCTGTTTCAGTCACTCTGATGCTTTCTGCAGCAAGATACATTCAGCCTCTTGCGAATTGAATGAAAATTATGAAACACAGAGGTACGAAAGATGCATTATTTTTTTTATTTTTTTGTCATTTTGGGGGGGGGGGGGGCCTGGCTTCCCTTGGCATCCATTAATACACGCCACTGATTTAAAAAGAAAATTGTCGGGAATGTGTGACCATTAAAGCCAATCCTGGCGTAACCAAGTAAAGTACTGGGGTATAATCATTACTCCAAACAGTTGCAAAACGTTTGCAACATAAACTAGCGTTTCTATTGGACAGGTTCAGCAAACAGGGCGGGTCCTACCTTAATCTGTCCAATAGAAACGCTAGTTTTCGTTAACGTTTTGCACCTGTTTGGAGTAGCTTAATGATAACACCCCATGCATGCACTGACAGTCAACTCATCAGGCAGGCATAACGTCACTCCCCCGAAAATACCCCTGTCCAATAGAACTACTCTCCCCCCCCCCCCCCCCCAGAATTCCCTGTGCGCTCTGCAAACCCGTCTATTGGTTGCCGGAGTTGTCACAAGTGAACACAGGTGACCTGGGACGTGCCAAGCCCCGCTGACAACATCACAGCCAGCGGAACTAAAACAATCAGCAGCTGGAGTGCATCAGCCATTCTACTGAAATTATAACGACACACAAAGACGCCTTTTTAGCGTAGTTTGTGTGTGAGGATCCGA